CCAAGTAGCCAGAACTACAGGTGCACACTACCACACCCAGCAAATTTCTTGATTTACTGTAGAGACAAGGTCTCGCCAAGTTGCCCAGGCGGTTCTCAAATCCGTAGGATCAGGCAATCCTCTTGCATTGGCCTCCCAAAGTGCTGGGATTACAGGCTTGAGCCACTGCTCCCAGCCTGGGCAAATTTTTTAGCAAGATCTCATCTACACACACACACAAAAAATTTAAAAATTAGCCAGTCAGCATGCACCTGTAGTCCCAGTTACTTGGGAGGATGAGGCAGGAGGATCACGTAAGCCAATCTATTTTTTCTTCTATTCACATGATCGTGCCACTCCAGCCTAGGCAACTAAATGAGACCCTGACTCAAAAAAAAAAAAAAAAAAGAAAGCGATCTCTGAAGTCATCCTTGCAAGTATGCAGTTGTATTTTTTCTTCTACTCACACATATGCATAAAAAATGGCTTTAAAAAAAATAGAGACAGGGTCTTATTCTATTGTCCAGGCTGAAGTGCAAAGAAAAACGATGAAGGAAGGGAGAAAATTCCTGAACAACTTTTCCCCTTCTGGACACTGTGAATCACATGCCCAGTCAAATCTTGTCTTTCACACTGGCTTCTGGAAAGCTGAGGAGTCTGGACAGCATGCAGAGTGAAAACTACCTTGCTATGGCTTTATCTTCTCTTCTTACATTCCTTTTCACTTCCTTCATTTGCTTAGCACTAATTTTTTTCCATTATATTCCACATATATCGTAAATCCTTCCCACAACAAAGCAGGATGTGAATTTTTTTTTTTTTTTTTTTTTTTTTTTTTTAGTCAGAGTCTCACTCTGTCACCCAGGTTGTAGTGCAATGGCGCTACTCACGGCCACCACAGCCTCGACCTGCTTGGCTCAGGGGATCCTTCCACCTGAGGCCAAGGTTAGAGGATTGCCTGAGTTCGAGACCAGCCTGGGCAACTTGGTGAGACTTCATCTCTACAATAAATCAAAAAATAAGCCAAGCATAATGGTGCATGCCTATAGTCCCAGCTACTTGGAAGGCTGAAGTGGAAGGATCGCTTGAGCCCAGCAGGTGGACGCTGTGGTGTCCTTGAGCATGACACTGCACTCCAGCCTGGGCAACAGAGTGAAACTCCAACTCAAAAAAAAAAAATAGAGATAGGTCTTATTCTATTGTCCAGGCTGGAGTGTAGTGATGAGATCATATGTCACTGCAGCTTTGAACTCCTGGGCTTAAGCCATCCTCTTGCCTCAGCCTCCTGAGTAGCCGTGACTATAGGCATGTGCCACCACACCTGCTAAATTTTTCATTTTCTTGTAGAGATGAGATCTCGCTATGCTGCCCAGGCTGGTCTCAAAATTCCTGGGTTCAAGTAATCCTCTTACCTTAGCCTGCTGAGTTGCTGGGATCACAGGCTTGAGCCACTGTGTTTATGAAATATGAAAATTTTAGTCAGTGCCTTGAGGACTGCTCAGAAATTCAAGTTACTGCACTAAGTGGTTTATGAATTACACATTGATAAAAGGCACAGTAAAGGACATGCTTATAATTCAATTAGCAGTAGGCTGAATTTCTAACACAACTGAAACACAAGTTTAATACCTTTGTGCCATTTCATATCATAAAAAACACTAAAAGCCTCTTTTCTCCACCTTTCCCAAATTCAATGTACTTTTGATTCACAAAAGCTTAAATTCCTAAACTGTCTTTCTGAAATTCTAAGTCTATTTTCGCCTTTCAAGGGTGAATGTGCGGCCAGGTGCAGTGGTTCGCACCTATAATCCCAACACTTTGAGAGGCCAAGGCGAGTGGACTGCCTGAGCCCACAGGTTCAAGACAAGCCCGGGAAACTTGGCAAGACCTCACTGCTATAGTAAATCAAAAATTAGCCGGGCACGGCAGCACAGGACTGTAGTTCCAGCTACTTGGAAGGCTGAGGCAGAAGGACTGCCGGAGCCCAGCAGGTAGAGGCTGTGGTGGCCAGGAGTGTGCCACTGCACTCCAGTCTGGGCGACAGAGTGAGACTCCAACTCAAAAAAAGTAAAAAAAAAAAAAAAAAAAATCAAAAAATTAGCCGGACGTGGTGGCGCGTGCCTGTAGTTCCAGCTACTTGGAAGGCTGAAGCAAAGGACACCTAAGCCCAGCAGGTCGAGGCTGCAGTGGCTCTGAGTGTGCCACTGCACTCCAGCCTGGGTGACAGAGTAAGACGCCAACTCAAAAAAAAAAAAAAAAAAAAAAAAAAAGCATGAACATGGCAGTGTAAATTGATGTGGCTTCTCTAAGAAGCAATCTGGCAATAAACATCAAGAGCCTTAAAAACGTTCCTATGCTTTTACTCAGTAATTCTACTTCTGAGAACTTACATACAGGAAAGGATTAAAATGCTGATCATTGATACATAAGAATGGATTATATACAAAGAGGTACATTTTATGTAAAAAAAAAAAAAAAGCAAAACTCTGGAAATAATCCAAACAGTCAACAATAGGAGAACTGTTCACTTATGAAGCAGTCATGAGATATATTACTCTGTAGTTATTAGTAATGCTGTGTGCATGGAGCTTTAACTACCTAAGAGAAACATTCATAATAGATTGTTGAATACAAAAAGGAGACAGAATTATAAACACAGTACATCCTCTAGTATACATACAGACATCCACAAATATATAATTGGAGGAAATGCATTAAAATTATCTGAGGGATAGGATTATGGGTAATTTTCTTTTTCATATGTCTCCATTTTCCAATGTTCGATAATGAGCAAGTTCTCACTTTTATGGTCAATAACTGAAACAAAAGTTGCACTTAAAAATAGGAAGTAAAGCGCCATCTATGATAAACTCACAGCTAGCATATTGCTAAATGGACAAACACTGGAAACATTTCCTCTGAAAACTGCAACACGACAAGGCTGCCCATTCTCACCCCTCTTGTTCAACATTGTGTTGGAAGTCCTGCTAGAGTAATTAGACAAGAGAAGGAAATCAAGGGTATCCAAATAAGAAAAGAAGTTATTCCCCTTTGTTGACAATATGATCCTATACTTCGAAAATCCAAGAGAATCTGTCAAAAACCTGCTTGCACTGATAAAGGACTTTGGCAAAGTCTCAGGGTATGAAATACATGTGCAAAAGACAGTTGCATTCTTATACACCAACAACAAGCAGGCGGAGAACCAAATAAAAAGCACAATCCCAAGAACCAAATAAAAAGCACAATAGCCACACAAAAAAGAAATACCTCGGCATCTTCCTAACCAGAGAAGTGAAAGACCCTCACAATGAGAACTACAAAACAATGCTTAAAGAAATCCAAGAAGACACAAACAAATGGAAAAATATTCCATGCTCAATTCCTGATCAAAACCCCAAGGAAGAATCAACATTGTTAAAATGTCCATCCTACCAAAGGCAATCTACAGATGCAACACAATACCCATTAAGTTACCAACATCGTTTTTCTCAGACCTGGAAATGACAACACAGAAATTCATATGGAAACATAAACGACCACGAACAGCCAAAACAATCCTTAGTAAAAGAAACAAAGCTGGAGGTATCAAACTTCCAGATTTCAAACTTTACTATAAGACTACAATAATCAAAACAGTCTGGTATTGGTACAAAAACAGGCATACAGACCAATGGAACAGGATAGAGATTATGGAAGCAAAGCCTCAATTTCTCAACCAACTCATCTTTGACCAAGCCTCCAACAACAACCACTGAGGAGAAGAGAACCTATTCAGTAAATGGTGCTGGGAAAACTGGTTGATCACATGCAGAAGACTGAAACAGGATCCCTACCTATCACCATACACACACACAAAAACTCTATATGGATCAAAGACCTAAATGTAAAACCTCAAACTATAAGAATCTTAGAAAATGCAGGAGACACCCTTATGGTAATTGGAACTGGCAACCAATTCCTGATCAAAACCCCAAGTGCCCATACCATAAGAGATAAGATAGACAAGTGGGATCTCATCAAACTGAAAAGCTTCTGCAAAGCCAAAGAAGCTATCAAGAGAACAGGGAGACAGGCCACAGAATGGGAAAAAATATTTGCCAACTGTATATCTGACAAAGGTCTAACATCTAGGATCTATAAGAAGCTCAAATGCACCGAAAGGAAAAAAACTGCCCCATTAAAAAGTAGGCAAAAGACAAGAACAGACACTTCTCAAAAGAAGATATACAGGCAGCCAACAGATATAGGAAAAAGTGCTCAGCCTCACTCATCATCAGAGAAATGCAAATCAAAACCACACTGAGATACCACCTAACTCCAGTAAGAATGGCCATCATCAAAAACAAACAAACAAACAAAAACAGATGCTGATGAGGATGCGGGAGAAAAAGGAACACTTCTACAATGTTGGTGGGAATGCAAACTAGTGCAACCTAGTTGCACTAGACAGTGTAGCGATTTCTGAAAGAACTAGAAATTGACCTTCCATATGACCCAGCAATCCCCCTGTTGGGAATATACCTGGAGGAACCCAAGTCATTCTACCAAAAAGATACCTGCACATGCATGTTTGTTTCAGCTCTATTCACAATAGCATAAACATGGAACCAACCGTGCTGCCCATTGAAAGTGGACTGGATAAAAAAATGTGATACATATACACAGTGGAATATTATGCAGCCATAAAAGACAAACATATGGACTTCAAAGTAACTTGGATGAATTTAGAGTCTATCATACTCAGTGATCTATCACAGAAACAAAGAACAGAGTACCATATGTTCTCACTCATAAGTGGACTTGAACAGTTATCCTAATACTATAAGAAAGGGATTGGCAGTAGTGGGAAACTACCAGGGGAGGGAGGCCACACCTCATCAACAAGGGTACCTGCATAATGAACATTTGTATACCTAACCTGAATTGTATCCCACATCTTTAAAATAAAAAAAATTTTTAAAATCAAAAAATAAAAATCGGAAGTAGTATAGTATAGAAATTCACCATAAAACAAATTATTGATTGCAATGTACTCCTTTTTTATTAAATTATAAAACTGACTTGTCAATATACACACTTTTGGAAATAAAATGTGTTTTCCTGCAAGTATCTGCTTTTGTGGAGCACGTGGTTTTCAACATACAAACAAAACATTTCTATACCAACTTCTTGGTCTTCAAGCTATAGAGCGCTTATGCCCAACTACCCAGTATAGCTATTATATATACAGTGAGAATTTATGGTAAATATTACAAAGACAAATGTCTAGAAATGATGACACAGAGTAGGGAAAACCACAGCTATTAAATGGGTATAAAAATTTAGTCAAAATAATGTTTTAGTCCATTATGGCTCTGCGTAAAGCTTCAAAGAAAGAAAATATAAGACACTTCTCAGCAAAGGCACTTAGTATAATAAAATACTTCTTTGAATTTAGTTCGAGTCCAACAGTATTTTTTACTCTTCTTTTTCACATTCTGCTTCACATTTAAACAGTCCTTGAAGGCAGCTATTAGGGAGGGAAAATAGTTATCGCTTCTTAATATACATATTAAAAAATATGCAAATAGAAATTAATATAGATTTTGGTCCACTGAAGCAAGTAACAGTATCAGACTGTAGCATTCCTGTTAATTCCAAGCAAAAAGTCATAGACTCCTCCAACCCAGTCCCATAAGCAGAGCCTACAGTTCTCAATCTGCACGGGCTGCCCCCTGGGTTCTCCAAGAGAACACACACGCTGGAGCCCTACCACGTCGCACAGTGCATTTTCACCGGAGAAGAACATCCCGGCGGCCTGGCAGAAGTGTTACTTTGACATGATGGCAGGTGGTCCCGGAAGAGTTCATTCTCAGACATCTATAATTCTGTGTCTCGGTATCGGGCAGTCTGGCCATAATAACCGCGCTTTGAGTGCTCTGACAGCTGCTGGCGGTATTCCTCCTCCTCGACGTCACTGCCATAATTTCCTCTGGCATCCTGATAAAGTCTGGAAGGACCCTTTTGTGGCTCGGGGCTTCTGAAAGAAACACAGTTAAGAGTGTTAAAGACATTCCAGAGCATGGTCTTGTCCTGAGGCTGCCTTGGAGTTGTGGCTGTGACTATGGTAGGGAAAGCATCTGAAGCAGAGAGCACTTACTGACCTCTGAGCCACACTTTACCCAACAACCAGGGGCATTCCTGGCTCCGCTCCAGGTTCAGAGTGGTGGAGGCAGGGACAGAAGTCAATGCCCACTTGGGCAGTGAGTGAAGAAGCCAGCCAGGTGCCCCCTGACCTAAGAATTCTCTCACTGGACAGGGATGCCCTCCCCACCCCTAAGTTCCCTGGCTACAGCCTCATCCAGCAGTGACTTCTCTGTCAGTTTCAGTCAATTACATCAAGTACTTTTTGCTGCTGGCGACATCCTGGTCAACCGTGTTGCCATTCAGTTGGTAAAGAAGAAATCTGCCTCTAGTTTTCTGTTGCTGTAAAACTAGACTTCAGCTTCCAGACAAGATGGCCACAAGAAAATGTTTTGTTTTTCTATTCTCAGAAGTAGGAAAGAATCGAGTGTGAAATCTCAACAGGAAGACACTGTGATGATCCCTACTGTTTGTGCAGCCTTTTAAATAGAAAGCACCTTACTATATAATGCTAGTCGATTGTTGGTCAGTCCCTTTAGACAAGTGGCCTGACTTTGCTAGGTAATAGGAGTTAAAGATCTTGGCTAAGAGTCAGAAAACATGAGCAAGAAAAGAGGTTTAAGCCTCAGGAATTTGCTCACATGCTATGCATGCGCAATGCAACACAGGCACTTCGGCGTGTCAAAGGTACCGACTTGAAACGGGAAAGATCACATGGTGTCAGAGTTTTAGAACATAAGCAAAATCACCATGAATTTTTGACTCTAGTAATCCTTATAGTTAATTAAATCTGACTGAATGAGTAAGCAACAGATTGGGAGGGGTGGGGGAGGGAAGAGAAGAATCTTTTTGTTGCTCTGAAATCTGGGTAAAGAAAATTCTTTACAAAAATTTTAACAATGTTTTTCCTTTCCCGAGATGCTGGGTGAGCAGAAGATACTTCTTTCTTCAAGTTCAAGTTCTAAAGAAGTCCCTGCCTTAGACCTATACCTGCTAAGAAGCCCTTACCTTGTGTGCTGGGGTAGGCCAGGGTCTGGCTTATGTGCTTTGATTGGAACTGCATAGATATCAGGATGCTTCTGGGCAATTTCAATCTGTAGTAAAATAAAAAAGAAAAATAAGAAGAGGGAAAGAATGAACCACTGGACAGCTGGTCCTGCCCTTTCCCGACATCCTACTTCTTTTCCCATCCCATTTCAAGGAGAAGAGGAAAAAGAAACAACTCATCTCCAGGGTTGTATATGGTGCCTGGTGATGTATGTCTGGGAATGAAACTCTGATACATGCTACAAATGAACCCTAAGGACATCGTGCTAAGTGAAATGAGCCAGTCGCAAAAAGACAAATGTTGCATGATTCTACTTAAATGAGGTTCCTAAGTTGTCAAATTCCTAGAGACAGAAAGGAGAAGGGTGGCTGTCAGGAGCTGTGGGAAGGGGAGGATGGGGAGTTAGTATTTAATGGTTACATAGTTTCACTTGGGGAGGATGAGAAAGTTCTGGAGATAGATGGCGGTGATACTTGCATAACAATGTAAATACACTTAATGCCACTGAACCAAAATGTCTGAAAAGGTAAATTTTATTTTCTTATATTTTGCCGTACTTTAAAAAAAAATAAGAAAAATGCTCAAAGCACTGCTGTTGTGATTGACTTTAAGGAAGAAAACTCCAATGGCCAGCCACAGTGGCTCACACCTATAATCTCAGTACTTTGGGAGGCCAAGGTGGAGAGAATTGTCTGAGCCTATGAGTTCGAGACCAGCCTGGGCAACTTGGCGTGACCCCATCTCTACAATAAATCAAAACAAAAAAAAAAATTAGCTGGGTGTGGTGGCACATACCTGTAGTTCCAGCTACTTGGAAGGCTGAGGCAGAAGGATAGCCTGAGCCCAGCAGGTTGAGGTTGCAGTGGCTGTGAGCATGCCACTACACTGCAGAATGGGCGATAGGGTGAGACTTCCGACTCAAAAGAAAAAAAAGAAAAAAGAAAACTCCTGTATCTACTTGGCAGAATCCACTTCACAGACCTTTACATTCATCTTTGGCGGTCAGGTGGGTGGCTCATGCTTGTAATCTCAGCATTTTGGGAGGCAGAGACAAGAAGATTACTTGACCCTAGGGGTTCAAGACCAGCCTGGGCAACTTGGCAAGACCTGTCTCTACAATTAAAAAAATAAAAATAATAATAATAATTAGCCGGGTGTGGTGGCATGCACCTGTAGTCCCAGCTACTTGGAAGGCTGAGGAGGAAGGATCACCTGAACCTAGCAGGTTGAGGTTGTGGTAGCCAAGAGCGTGCCACTGCACTCCAGCCTGGGTGACAGAGTGAGACTCCGACTAAAAAAACAAACGAATTATTCTTTGACATTTGAAACGTTAAAGAATTTTTGCAGATTAGGACAAAAATGCAAAGGGCTCAAAATGTACAATCCATGGACCTTTCCATTTTAGCCCCCAGAGTGTGCTTGGTTTCTACAGCAAATCTAGGAGCAAATGAAGGTTCAGTTACCGAATAAACATCACAAATATTCTCAAAATAAGTTCTGAGAGGCACCAAGTCTCTCGTCACACTTCCCCACTCCAGAACCCAATATAAACAATACAAAGCTCTGTGTGTGAAGAGCAGAAATCGTATTCACCTATACTGTTAGGCTTTCTTGATTGAAAGAAAAAGCAATATGCTAAGAGCTGGCAATCTGGAAGTGACACACACAGTATGCACGTCTGGTGCTATGTGTGTGAACATCCCTGCCATGTTGGTGGCAGTGGAAAGAGGTCTGTGCACTATTATAATGCAGTCAAACTTACTTAAAACTCTTATTAACGTGTGGTTTAAACACAATTACCCTTGCATTCTGTGCTTCTTGGAGCTCCTGCATTCTCTGTAACCTGGCCTTGTGGTCCATCTTCTCAAATATTTTGACTTTGCCCAGGACTGATTTGGGAGGGTCAGCCTGCTCCTCACTGCTCTCTGTCACCTCCTCACCCTCTGGTGGGGGTACAGGAGTGGACGGTTTCAGTATAGACCGCCCAAAGGCAGGTTTCGCTGCAACAGGAGGAGGATGACCTTTGGTAGATGCCCCGGGAATTTCATTAGCAGCAATGGCAGAGGGGTTTGATTTATATTCGTAGGATCTGGAGAAATCATAGGATTCTTCTTTGTTCTGGGTTTTGGCCTGCAGAGAGCAAGGATATTGTTTTTACCTTGGGCTTTTAGTTTCTTTTTAAATCTCTATTAGTGATTTAATACACTCTGTTTCCTGATCAGTTTCCAAAGGTGGTCAACAAATACCATTCTGACAAGGAGTCTAATACAGCAGGGCAAATAGCCGCTGATCAGGCATCCTGAGCCCTGGCTCCCTGAGTGTTCAGAGCTCTCAGAAACCAAGAGGGTGTGGGGTAAGTGCGGGGAGAGCTGAGCTGCTGGAGGTGGGTCACAGCTGGGTCATTTTGTACCAGAGGGGAATTGAATCTTGGAGAAGACCTCAGAGCAAGTCAGCCTCCAGGACTAGAAGAAGTGGGCTTCTGAGGTCATGGCTGCACTGAAGGTGTGTACCACTAATATAGGTTATGAGATCACTCATTATTATTATTATTGCCACTTACTACTTCTGACAGCTCACACAATCAATGAGTGCTTTCTTCTTATCTAAATTAAATACAGAAATTTTATTGAGGTACAAGGAAGAGCCTGTAGCTTGGATTTTGACTGGAGGATAAAAAAATAATCATCTGATATAAGCCCTTGCGTCTTTATATTGATTCTGTTCTGGACAAATAAATTAAGCTGCTCTCTTAATGAGAGGCACAGTAAGCAATGGTGATGATTATTTCCTTTAGCAAATCAACAGTAAGGATTTTCTGGTGTACTTAAATCAGACTGTGGGCAGAAAACCGTAACTGGACAGAAAAAGAAAAACAGATTCAGCAACTGGTATTCTGGGCATGCGGCATTTGTCCATCTATTACTCTTTCTACAAAAAAAATTAAGTAAAATAAACTCTAAGAGTCCTAAAAATATACACTCTCCTAATACTGCCTTTCCTTCCTATCTTTTTGCCTTATCTAATTAGGAGGTTCACCCAACAGGCTCTAACAGAGATCACAAAACCACCATTCGACACCATCTCATTGTGTGCGCTCCTCCCGATCTATCCAGAAAGCTCCAGAAGTATCTGCTTCCTCTTCCTTCCCATCCTGGGCTTCCCAGCCACATACCTTGGGCGGTTCTGGCTTGAATGCTGGGGGTGGGCTACTGTCCCTAAGGTGATCACTGCTAGCAGCCCTCCTCATCTGAGCCCGTGGCTCTGGGCTGGCTTTCCTTATGCTCTACAAGAAATAAAGGTTCATTCACAACCAGAACATCCGAGCAGAGAGAAGAGAGCACTCGTCTGCCTCGCAGGAGTTCTTCAAACTTGCATTAAGTGCAGAAGGTGAGGTCCTGACCCAGTGCTTACTCCCACTAGCAAATGCTTAAGATACATTTTTTTTTTTTTAACATTGGCTTTGGCCAGGCACGGTGGCTCATGCCTATAATCCCAATACTTTAGGAGGACAAGACAGGAGGACTGCTTAAGCTCAGGAGTTCAAGACCAGACTGGGCAAACACCAAGACCCTGTCTCTATTATTTAAAACAAAACAAAACAACTGGCTTCACCCAATATAGTAGTCTCTTCCTTTAAAGTACAATTATAAAAAAACAAACAAACAAGCACTTCTAAGGTCTAAAATCTCGTGTCACTAAAAACTGTTAACATCTCCTAGCTTCAGCTCATCTATGTCTGTAGACATTCAAGAGTTTATTTATTCTTTACAATTTGTCTAGCAGCTTAACCAATTTTTTGCTGTGGCGATGGTGTTTCTTTCCTCCTTCCACTAATTTTTTGGGTACTTTTACTTCATGAAGGAAAAAATAACTTACTGGGATCAGCTAAATTGCTAAAAAAAAAAATCCACAGCAATAATTCTCCAAATATATAAACAATCTCATCTACAAAGAACATTATTCTGATGTTCTCTGAGGTGCAACTAATAATTGTCCCAGTCCCGACAGTGCTTATTGATGTGATTTCTAGGATCCCATAAGCTGTCGAATCAGGGGCCAGTGGATGCTCAGTACATGTGATTACATGACTACTGGATCATGAACTCAATTAAAAATTGAAATACAAGAGAGAAGGAAACTGATGGGGAAACACCCAGGAGCTCTGGCAAGATTAGAAAGGTTAAAGGTAGGTAGGGGAAGAAAAGCAAGGGCATCTAAGAGTACAGAGAGAGAGACCTAATCAAAGGTTACAAGTAAACACAACAACATTGCATTGCAAAGGAATGTTCTGCTTGTAATTTGGACAGCTGGCACATAAGGCCATTTCCTTTTTCCATCATGCCTGAGGGCGTGGGTATGGGGAGTGCTGACACTTAACCTCTTCTGCAGTTCATCTTCCTGCCCCACTTTCCCCTGGGTCACAGCCACAGTCACACAGGCGTGGACACAGAGTGAGAAACTCCCTAAAAGGCACCTGCTCCGACCCTTAGGAATGCCCTCTGCAGCACCCTGAATACACAGCTGTCCGCAGGAGTTGAAGGGAAGCACCGAGCTCGCCTTCTCCTGCCCGTGGCCTGCCTCGCCTCACCTCCTCATGCTGCACCGGCTCCGAGGAGCGGGTGATGGACGACACCAGCGGCTCCTCGGCTGGCTCATCCAGCTCATTGTCAGTGTAGGCGCCTCCTTCGCCGTCCGTGTCTTCAAAGTCACTGATGAGGCGGCTGTCGCAACTCAGATAGTCCGCGCCCATGGCGGTTAAGTAGGACATGCGGTCTTCCGGGTCATCATCCATCCCTTCCATCTAGAGGAATTTGTTTCGGAGGGTCAGTGGAGTCTGACATGGCTCCTGGGTATGGGGACTCAAGAGAATTCCCAAGGACACAGCCAAGGGACTGAAACTTTGATGTGCTAGCCAGGGAAGATGCCTTTCTTTCCCTGAAATCACCTGGCTTTGATCCACTGTGGACACTATGTTAATTTTTGTGCAGGAACTGTTCTTGCTTCCATCCATCCTCTATGCCACAACTAAGCCACGCTTTCTCCAATTATCTCGCCTTTCTTTCAAAATCTGGCTCCCCTCCAGTCTGTTCTGTTGATCCCTCTCTCATGGCTTTGGGCTACACACATCTCCACTCCTCCACAAGATTCTCAAATTCAAGGACAGAAGCTATGTCCTGTTCAATGCATCCTTCCCAGGGAAGCCAGCGGAGTGCCTTCCAGACTGTAAGCACTTCACAGATGCCATATATCTGACTAAAGATCAAGTTCTCAAAGAGCAAGACTTAGTCAACTCCACAAAAAAGTAGTCTCTGTAAAGTCTCACAAACTACCTCAATTCAGCCAGAGTACAGGACACTAACACCAAAGGCTCCCAGAATGAAAGGACCACAGGTTATATAAGCTCCCTCCTTCCTCTCCACAGCAAAGCGGTGTGTAAACTATCTCCACGGGTGAGAAGCTATCCAATTCGAGAGGCCTAGACAAGGCAAGTTCCCTAATGCTCATATGTCACCTATTGAAACTCCTAGATCTATGACACATTCTCTACCAACCTTGTTCTAAGCAAGCAATTCCAACACCATTAGCTTTTCTCCTTTCCACTAATTTCTAACCATAGTCCCCACGTTCCTCAACCTCACCTCTCGTCTGCACTCTAAGTTTCCCATATTCTTAGTAAGCTGTGGAGCTCAGCATGAGATCTTGTAAGCTCTGATTAGTGTACTTGGAATACAACACTAGTTACTACGTTAAAAGTCAAAGGGAAGTGAATGTAGGGCTACATAGATCACGTTCTGCTTTTCTTTTAAAAGTCCCTTCATTTTTATTACTTGGTCAGAGAACTTAGGAAAGTTCAAGCTCTGTTAACAAACACAGGAGCATCACTTCAAATGGACACGGTTGTACTACATTCACTGCCCTCTTGAGAAAAGACTCAGAACACGGACTCTCACCTCATAGCAGCAGATGCCACATACCTTTCCTTCGGAGACCCAGACTGCTTCTCCTTGCTGGTGCTGAATGCTGTCCTTCAAGCTGCCAAACCAGCTATCGTTGGCTGAATTTAAGTTGATTGTAGCTACAGAAATGTAAACAAAGACATGGGCATCACTTTCTACAACAATACTTATTAAGGATGCTATCTGACATAATTCATAGTCATTTCTGTCATATTTGAATTAAAACTTTGGCAAATGCAAACAAAGTTGGCACATATTTGAATACTAAATCCTCTCCAGTGAATACAATTAAAACTATTGACTGCTGTTTGAGTTCACAACACAGATGAATATTATAATACTAAAAATAGATTTTCTGAAAAACTTTATAGAAAACGCTTTTTTGCCTTTTTTTAGGATTACAGAAATTAATTATTTTTAATTTTAGCAATCTATGTGCGTTTTTAGGAGCAAAGGTAACACATCTAAAACATGCAAGCGTTACACTTTAAATATCATTTACATAGACATGTATATGACAAATAAGAAAAATATATACTAACATACTGTTGGCTACCTCGAGTAAAATACTAGTGGTAACAAATGTACAGTTGTCCCTCAGCATCCATAAGAAATTGGTTCCAGGACCTGTCCCACACCAAAATCCACCAATGCTCAGGTCTTTGATATGAAAATAGCATAGTATTTGCATATAACCTATGCACATCCTGCCATATGCACATCCTGCCGTATACTTTATCTCATCCCTAGGTTACTTATGACACCCAATAAATAGAAACACTATGTAAATAGTTGTTATACTGTATTGTTTAGGAAATAATCACAAAGAAGTCTGTATATGGTTTAGTATAGACATAACCATTCATAATTTCCCCCCATATTTTCAATCTGTGGTTGGTTGAGTCAAGGGATATAAAATCCACAGATACAGACAGTCGACTATATATCATTTTGATAGATGTAAACATTTTAGAATATGCATACAGACTAACCAACCTCCATTGGTATACATTCACAGAATATACATTTTCTATTCAGATCAAAATACATCTTATATAATAGCTCTTACTGGGCCAAGTACTTTCCAAGTGCCTTACACGAAAGTGCATTACTTGTTTCATGCTTACACAAACTTGCAAGAAAAGTACTGCTATCATATCCATCTTGTAGATGAGAAACTGAGGCACTGAAAGTAGCCTAAAATCACACAGATTGCAAATGCACAGCCTGGATACAAACTCAGAAGTTTGATTCCAGAGCCTATGGCCTTAGCCACCACATGACATTAACCCATCTAAAAGCACTAATTTAGAGCACAGATATAAATATCAACAAAACACAAGATATACAATCATATTTATGTATTTATGGACTTATGGACTTAATGGAGGAAAATTAGATGGACAAATTGGTCCAGAATAATAAATTAAATTGTATCTAAAATTATCAGACTGTAGATAAATTAGGATTTCTCTTAACCTACATGGACTTTTATTAGAGGACATGACACTAAGTATCATCACTTCTAAGGCCAAAAGGAACCATTAAGCAAATTTTATAAGAAACTATGCTTCAAGTTTTCTTCCTAGTAACATAGCTTTCTTTCATTTAAGAAGTTCTAACACTGACCTTGGAAAATCCTGAATAAGCTTACAATTTCCTTGGTTATTAATTATTTACGGCACTAGAATACATGGATCCACTGGACAACCCAAGGAAAATTAACCTTGATTCCATATTCTCATCATGGTACTTTGCAAAGATTATTGTACTCATATCTAAAATGCAATGTCATAGTACTTAAAAACCAAAGTGAGATTTTGCACCCCAGAGACTAAATGATTTGCACTCAATGTACACAGAACATTAAACAGTCTTTTAAAGTTTGATGTTGGAGTTGTCGGAGATAAGTACAGTCTATATTCATCATAAAGAAAACCTAAAGTTAAAAGGGCCACTTATAAAATACAGAAAATATGTTCATGTCTCCTGAATGAAGAAAGTCACAAAACCTCTTACCAAGTTCACAAGCAAGTATACGAACAAAAATCATAAGCTTCACAGTTGCTAAATTCCTAACATCTAACTCATGCACTTGACCTCTTCTAAACAAGTAGCCTTCCCATGGCCTTAGGCCCACTGTTAGATTTGCTCATTAGGCTTTTCAGGTTCTTTGCCTTAGAGAAGTGTTAGCTAATCACCTGTTGCTCCCAACAAGAGGTTAGGTCCCTTGAATAGGCTTAATCCATCTTTCGAGCTCTAGAAAGTGAAACACTGAAAGGATGCTCCACTCAGCCACAGCCTTGGCTGGGAGTACAGAGATTCTGAAGACGCACATGCCCAGCCCTGGCACATGTGGCATCAGTTCTACCTCCTCTCCCCAGCTGAGGGCATTGGGAAGCACCAAGAGCAACAGCAAAAGGTGACAAGTAAGACTAGAGGGGTCAGGGAGAGGGAGAAACGGGGAATTACTGCTAAAGAGTGTGGGGTGTCTTTTGGGGGTGATGAAACTGTTGTTTTCAAGTTGGTCGTGATAGGCTGCACAACTCAGTATACTAAAAACCACTTTGTTGTATGCTTTAAATGGGTGAATTATATGGTGTGTAGATTAAATGTCATCAAAGCTCTGTGCCTTGGTCAACACTGGAGTGCTAGACCCCTCTAAATGGGTAAATCTTAGCCACAGTGCCTGGCTGGGGGGCCCAGCATCTTCTCTCTGCTTTCTGTGGGCAACTAGACTGTCTACACTCCCTTCAGAAACCAAGAATCACCTACTGCAATTGGGGTATTTTCAGACTCCCTCTCCCACCACCAACACTTTCTCAAAGATTATATAATGACATAAAAATTTTTCCTACAATATATAACTTGCTCAGCACCTCCAAAGTCTCAGGACCAAAGAATATAAATTTCACTTTAATGAAGCCCACAAAGCTGGTAAAAGGGCTAGAATCCCTTTATTTACTTATTTTAAATCACGGTGCTTTAAAATCCCACTTGAGTCTAAATCCAAGGCTCCAATTCAGTAGTCTTCAAACCATAAACTGAGTGCTTCGAAGAAAGCATGTAATTGAAACTTCATTAAACAAAAAATTGTGAGATACACATGCAAACGTATTTTATAGTTAAGTTTTTAAAAAACTGGTTGAAGGAAAGGGAGGGGGTCAAGCCTAACATTTAAACTTACTTCGACAAGTCAACATACTATTGGGAAAATCTCTTGTTTAACTGACGAGTACTTTGAGATTGTAAGGAGAACCATTTTAATATCATCATCATTAAACACGCATCTGTGGGAAATGTTTCTTTTATCACCGTGCAAAAGGGAAAAAAAAGAATACTGAGCCCAGTGAAACTACACACAACACAAAGCCTGATTTCAAATGATTGTGTTCATCAAAGCAGCTCTATTATTCTTATTCATTCATGAAAATGCCATACATCTGAAATCAGAACTATAAAATACTACTTCTGTCTGAGGGTTCCACCGCTCTAGTGTGAAGACCAGAAATCCTGGCCATGGCATATGCATCAAGTCACAACCCGGCTGAGCTGAGTGGGATGGGAGGGAATGGAGAATAAAATTGCTTAGTGAGGCCACCATTGTCGCTTTAGGGAGGCAACTGAGAAGCCTAGAAAAATATTGAAAAGATCAGAAAATCTTGGGACTTACTGAGCACCCCCATACCATCTATCCTGAAGACTGCGCAATTCAGTATGAGAGACTGACAGATGAGAATGAGTCACTTGAAAGTTCTGGAAGAGGCCAGGAACGGTGGCTCATACCTGTACTTCCAGCACTTTGGGAGGCTGAGGCGGGAGGACTGAGGCTTGAGCCCAAGTGTTCAAGACCAGCCTAGGCAACATAGCAAGACCTTGTGTCTACAAAAAATTTAAAAATTAGCCGAGTGTGGTGGCATATGCCTGCACTCCCAACTACTTGGGAGGCTGAGGTGGAAGGATCACTTGAGCCCAAGAGGGCAAGGCTACGGTGGAGCTGTGCCACTGCACTCCACTGTGGGCAACAGAGGGAGACTCTAACTCAAAAAAAAAAAAAGAAAAAAAGAAATCAAGTTCTAAAAGAAACTCAGTGCTTACAGTGTGTGTTTCCACACCAACCTCTGACTTTAGCTATCCCAAAATGTTCAACTTCCTGACTAGCTTAGGCAAGAAATGGTTTGGTGTGTCAGAAGCAGTTCTAATGTAAGTTACAAACACTTATGCTTTGCCCGTTTGCTGGCCTCGGGCACATATGGCCGGATAATGTTCAGTGTCTGCCTGCAAGAATCTTGCCATCTATGAGCACAGCTAAAGGGAGTGTTGCTAACTCCTTCCACACACGTGAAGATCCTCAATCAGATTCAGCCAGCTACTGCGACCTGTGCTTCAAACAGCAAATAATGGAGACTCACAGCTAGAGAAAGAGTGCGCCCCCGGTCACCGGCTACCTTCTCCTGCCCTGCTCTCTTTCTTGCCCAGCCTCCTTCAGTTTGGTTCTTCCTCCACAACCCATTATTTCCCTTCCTGATTTCTCACGTGAGCCCCAAATCCAACTACCTGCGGGAAGCCCCTAGACATTCAGTGGGCTCACACCAAGGTGCAGGGGTGGGGGTAAGTAATGAAGAGGGGTTAGTTTTAACTTCATTCATATTATTAACGTCATAATTAACTTCAAGGACCTTGGTTTTCTTCTCTGTGAAAAGGAGGAGTTGCCTTATACGACCCTTTTGGTATTACAGTACTGTGCTGTGCAATGTATGTACAATACTGAAACACACAGAGACTCAGTTTCTGTGTGGGCTCTGCCAGACACTCGATCTGTGACTATGCAGAAACCACCGGGTCTTTCTCATGGCCTAATAAGCCAGTACACATAAGGATGCCAAACAGCCAGTACCACCGTACGTTGTTGCTATGGCAACAGTAATACTAATTACTAGTGTCAGTAAAAAGGACAGAAACGATATACATGAAAATACCAAAGGCACCAGTGCTGAAGAGCCTACACTCATAGAAATCTAGTTTATGATGGGCCACTTCCTCCTTGGCATTTAGTGAAACTCTCTCTCAGTTACAACATTCGGCCACAGTGGTAGTGTCCCTCTCTTGAACAAGAAAAGCCAAGTGAGAGTAGAACAAGGGTCGAATGCAAACACAATCAGTGCTGGAATTACAGGCGTGAGCTACCATGCCCGGACAATTTTTTGTTTGTTTGAATTAGGGTCTCTGTCAGCCAGGCTGGAGTGCACTGGCACAGTCACAGCTCACCACAGCCTCAACCTCCTGGGCTCAGGTTATTTTTCCACCTCAGGCTCCTGAGTAGCTGAGTAGTCACTACACCTGGTTAATTTTTTTTTTTTTTTGGTAGAAATGAGGTCTGGTTATGTTGCCCAGGCTGGTCTCGAACTCCTGGGCTTAAGCAATCCTCCCACCCTAGCCACCCAAAGTGCTAGGATTACAGGTGAGAGCCACCACACCTACCCAATTTTGGGGACATTTTTAAATAATGAAACCAAGTTCCTATCACTTTGTAAATTAGTGCATACATTGATAGTAAGCAGAGAAAAAAAATGTCAAAATCTATGAAGAGACGTAGGTGCTGGGCTGGACTTCATCTCTAGCCTTGTAGTTCCCACAAATATGTGAACCTCATCAAAATGACTAAATATAACCATGTCTTGAATCTTTTTTTTTTTTTTTTTTTTTTACTTTTACATTTTTTTATTTCCATGTGTTGAATCTTTACGGTCATTTCCAAAGAGTCAAAATTGCAAAGTTCAATATATAAATACCATGGTTATAATATACCTGGTTTTACAGGATTAACTATTTTTCAAAAAGGAGTTCAAATTCTCCATTCAGATTATTTACTTATTTCTTCCATTCTCCAATTTTATATTTCGCATTTTGGGACAAAGAGACTACATTTTACATTTCACTTACCCGTAAAAAGATGTGCACAAGTTTTCTTAAGCTTGTTGGCTTGATCAAACAACTTGCGAGAACTCTTGTTAGATGTTGGATTCAACCTCTGTCTCATGGTTTTAACACCTTGTCTAGAGTCTGGGTTGAAAAAAATGACAATCGGGAACCACTGGGTGTAATTCAACAGGTCCACAGCTTTCGGAGTCACATCCAATAGTGCATGCTTATCCTGTGAAGAATGGAGGAAAGTTACATAAGTGGGTATGTAAAGTCATACAGCATCAAAGAGTTTAATAGTAAAGGCTGCAAAAGATTCAACTTGTCATTTAAGTATAATTTAAGTCAAAAAGCAGAAAACATTCCCTTCCATACATATGTCCACTTCAATACCATCAATCTGTCAGAACTTCTGATAACATGAATTAACAGATTATTTGGTATAGTGCTGGGAACTGAAAAAAATAAAATGTTAACTGCCACAGAACAGTGACTGGTTTCCACAGTAAAATGTCTTGCATTTACATTAATTTTGTATCATTAACATTTAATGATTGTTAAAAGACAGATTCTATTCTAAAAGTGACTGCAGCAAACCATGATCCAATTATTTCTGACAACATGGCCTTTGGATGAATTTTCTCACCTGTTCAATAATTTGCCTCACAGTGTTCAACCGAACTACTCCGCTGGATTTCTCAGAGCCTGCGTCTTTTGGTTCTGTTTCTGCAAACGCAAAAACAGGGGGCTAAATAATTGTTTAGAAAACAGTGACAACCAAATGCTCCAACCTAGCATCAACAATAACAGGGTGCATGACATTAGGTACCTCCTAATGAGATGCAGTGGGATCTGCTAACAACATCTAACTGTGAAGAAACGGTTAGGCCAGTCCAGTAGGGAGCATTCTATGAGACAACTGGCTTGGAGTCTTCAAATGTCTCATACAACACACACACACACACACACACCCCAGAAAATAGAAGACATAAAAATCAAACATCATGCGTGATCCCTGGTTAATCATAAAAGTTTAAAAAAATATATGAAGGACATAATTGGGACAATTGAGAAAATCTGAAAAATGAACTACATACTAAATAGTATTGTCTCAATGTTACATTTCTTATCTGTGATAATGGTATTGGTTTTTTGTTTGTTTGTTTTTGGAGTCAGAGTCTCACTCTGTTGCCCAGGCTGGAGTGCAGTGGCACACTCACGGCCACCACAGTCTTGTGCTCAGGTAATCCTCCCACCTCACCCTTCCAAGTAGCCGGAACCACAGGCACGTGCCACCACGTCCGGCTAATTTTTTTGATTTATTGCAGAGGTGAGGTCTCACCAAGTTACCCAGGCTGGGCTCAGGCAATCCACTCTCCTCTGCCTCCCAAAGTGCTAGGATTACAGGCTGATAACGGTATTATGATTGTGTAGACCTATGTCCCTGTTGTTAGGAGCGTCACACAAACATTCAGGGATAAAGTGTTATGTTTATAACTTAAATTTTCACATGGTTCAGCAGAAATTTTTAGAGGCATCTGATTGTGTGTGCATGTGTGTGTATGGGCATGGGATGGGAAAGAGAAAGTGTACAGGACAAAGTGTCAATAACTGGTGACTCCAGGTGAAGGGTATATGGATGTTCATTACTCTTTCAACTTCTCTTTTTGATAGAAATTATTCAGAATAAAAATTTGGGGAGAAAAAAAACCTGACAGACTTACTAGCAGTTTGAAACAAATCAGGTAACTCATGTGCCAGCTTTTCCATTGCTATATCTGCTATAGGGCCAAATAAGACCACAGGTCTCTTGAAACCAGCTGAAATGAGACAAGAACGGCCATTAAAACACATACGTTGGCCTAGCTGTTAAGATAAGCAGTAAAGTATCATGCAGGCTTTTGAAAATAACACAACTACATGAAAGAAATTGTGAGTTCTCCTATCCCCAGATCAGCCCAGCTCTTTTCTGAAGACTATGCCTTCACTATCCTCAACATTTTTACAATCTGTTTTTCACCCAACCAAATACTGACCTAATTTTTTTTTTTATAAGAGACACTCTGTCCCCAGGCTGGAGAGCAGTGGCACAATCTTGGCTCACTGCAGCCTTGAACTCCAGGAATCAAGCAATCCTCCCACCTCAGTCTCTCAAGCAACTAGGACAATAGGCGTGCACCATCACACACAGTCTCTGTATGTTGTCCAAGCTGGTCTTGAACTCCAGTCCTCAAGTGGTCCTCTCACCTCAGCCTCCCAAAGTGCTGGCATTACAGGTATGAGCCACTGCACCCAGCCTAAATTTTTTTTTAAGTGAGAAAGCAGGATTTATTGAGAGGACAGAAAAGCTCCCACAGTGGGAGGGGACCTGAGGGGGTGTCCCTAAATTTTTTAAAGAGATGTGGCCTCATTATGTCAGCCCAGCTGGACTCAAACTCCTAGGCTTAAGCAACCCTCCAGCCTCAGCCTCCTGAGTAGCTGAGAGTACAGACACGTGCCACTGCACCTGGCTTCTCACCTTTTTTTTTTTTTTTAAATGAGAGACAGAGTCTTGTTCTGTCACCTAGGCTGGAGTGCAGTGGCACGATCATGGCTCACTGCAGCCTCAAACTCCTTTTGCTGTTGGTAAATATCGGCAAAATTTGCTACTGGTAATATATGGAAACTTCTGAATGTAGAAATATGCCTCCATTTAGGAGTTTGAACAGCTCACTTTCTTCTAAGTCATGCTCCTTACTAAAATATAATTTCAACTTTATAAACTGGCTTTGGCATAAATGACGCAGATAAGGTAGAACTTGACCATGACAATCTGAACATGAAGGAAACAGACTCAGAGCCCAGTCGGATCATTTCCTGGCTCCATATGGCTTCCTCACCTTCTCGCAGCAAAACCCTCTCATACGCCGGGAACTTGGTGCTGACAGACACAATAGCTGTTAGGTCTTCCCGACTCTTCCTTAGGTTCTTCTTCAACCCGGATCTCTGGCCACGCATTCTCCAGAAATCTGCCCTGTCCCCAGCATTGTCTCTCTGAGCATTCTGCACACTGGCCATTTGTTCAGCTCTGAGAGAAGAAAGCACGAGTAGTAAATCTCTAAAGCCAGAAAACGCAGCCAATGGGTACGACATTAACCAAATCTGGTCAACTCTACCATTGAACTTGGACCAGAGAAGATCCAACTTGGCAGTGAAGTTTTAGAGGGTGGGAAACATGGGGACCTTCACTCTCAAATGGAGGCAGGAAAAGGCTGGGTCTCTATAAAATCCACCAGAAGTAGCTTAGTAATGGACACACTAAGTTTGGCTCCTTCTGATATGCAGGTATAAACGTATCTGGAACTCCTGCTCAAACACAGATCTCTTTTCTAAATCCTGGCACTGTTAGCCAACCAGCAAGTATTCAACGGGGTACATACACCACTCTAAGGATGAAGACCACGCAGCAGGCAAGGGTGACTTGTCTCTAAGAGGTGTGCCATGGCCATTCAGTGTCTCCCTCATACACTGTGTAAGGCAGCGGATAATCCTTAGGAAATTGTCCAAACACAGCCACAGACGACAACCAACCACGTGAGGCTAAATACAGCAAGCCACCTCGTAGTTCAGTTCGGGTTACACGCCATAAACAAGAAGATGAGACAAATAATGAATGCACGGGGTGTCCTCTTGGGGGGGTTCTGTTGTTTTCTGCAGGGGGAGGGATCAAGAAGGGTGTGTGGGAATGTGACCTCAGGTACCTGCTTTTGTTGGGGATTAAACCTTTCTCCAAATCATTTCCGATCCTCACAGCCAGCCAGTGGCCCAGCTTGCCATCATACAGTGTGTCCACCACTCGGAAGACCTCCCCCCTGGTGAAGGCCAGGCTCTGCGGAGTTTCCTTCTCACATTCAAAGTGGCTTCTTATAAAAAACGAATCCCCTCTGCCACAAGCCAGTATGTCTCTATACACTGAAAGACAAAAGAATTGTTTGCATTTGGCTTAGAGAAAGATGAAGTGATCAGCCCTTTAGCTTCTCTCTATTCTGTGCACAGGCCATAAGGGAATCCCAACTCCAACAGGAAGAAGGATGAGTAACTAACTTCATGAGTTGCTGGGATGGTTCATTTTATGTGTCAATTTGTCTGGGCCATGAAATGCCTAGATATTTGATCCAACATTATTCTAGGCGTTTCTGGATAAGATTAATGTGTAAATGGGTATACTGAGTAAAGCAGATTGCTCTCCCCAACATGGGTGTGCCTCACACAATCTTTTGAAAACCTGAAGAGAACAAAAACCAGACCCTCTCCAGTAAGAGGTGGTAGCCTCCAAACAAGGCCATCTGCTTTTTTTCCCACCGTACTAATAGTGTAGTACTACACCATTGTAGTACTACACTACAATGGTGTAGTACTGGAACTACACCATTGGCCCTCTTGGTTTTCAGACCTTTGGGCTTAGACTAGAATGAGATCCTCAGCAGTTTGCCTCGTAGATCATGGCATTTGCCAGCCTCCATAATTATGCAAGCCAATTCCTAAAAATAAATCTCTTTATCTCATATTGGTTCTGATTCTCTGATGGTCTTGATTAATATAGTTGCCATTCAACCTCTGAAGTAGACAGAGAAGATACTTCCAACCCCTCCTTTACAGATGAAAACAAAGTCTAGAAAGGTGGAGCAATCTGTCAGACTGGTTAAGGGTTAATGTGGGCACCAACCGACATATGCGTCTGGCATATGGAAACTTGATAACTCTAGGCAGAACCTAAGGATATGTCACAGCTCAGAAAGGCAGTTTTATTACAAACTGACACAACTAGTGAAATGATTTTAGTGGGTGCTTAGAAAACATTTTTATAGAAGGTGAAATGGCACCTAAATTTTCTCCACAAACCTGTGGCCCAGGAATTAGGTGTCAAGGTACACTTCCATTTTTTAATGCTCAGATTGGCCTATTCTGGTCCCAAGACATCTCATACTTCCAACTCCCCCTAACTAAAAAATGACCAAACTTGCTCACCATCAGCTCGGCTCTGAGCTAAAATGGTCACCATTTCACCTTTGGGGATTTCTAACAGGTAGAGAACAGCATCCTCTCGGACCAGCCCTCTGAAATCCTGTGTGTTCACCTGGCAGGAAGGAAAAACAGAAAAAAATAAAAAATTACACATAAAAAGAAATGTACAGGAAGGTGCCACCTGAGCTTTTTGCTTGTTTTTATCAGGGCTTGCTTTTACCAGAGCAAAACCACAATATAAAGAAGTCTTTGATGTCCCTTCTCAAGCCCACTCCCACCCAGCACCTTGCTACGGGCCTAGCTGTGTGGGTGTCATATAGCCTCCCTGCCTCCCTACTATCAACCACCCCTTAGAGATAAGTTGTTTAATCAAGGATTTATCACTGACTCAGATTAGAGTTTCTTGTGGTTGTTTCTGTCTCCCTCTTATCTTTTGAGCCTCCTTTGGAGGTGGCCAGGAAGATAATATACAAGTACCAAACAGGTAACTATAATGCAATAGGGAGTAGTGGGGTCTGTGGCAAATGAGCATGCTGGCCCAGCATTCATGCTATTTTTAAATGGTTCAACTAAAAGTCTGCAAATAAAGATTCTGACCAATTCTACCTTTCTCCTATAGCTTCTATCACTTACTATGTGTTTATAAAATTGAAGAGCATTAGCTTTATATGGCAGACAATTAGTCTAATACAAAGCATTATATATTTAAGCTTCTGGTTCATACATGTTTCTGGCAAGATACTGTAAATAGCTTTTGTAAGATGACTTAGAAAGCAGTAAAATTGAAATGTGGTACAAAGAACAGACATTTTGAATCATAGTTGTGTACCTTTACAACTATTTTAAAACAGAATTACAAATAAGTAAAGTGTAAAACTCATTTTAAAGTATCTGATATGTTCATAATATATGGTAGAAATGAAAAGATACAGAATTCCTATGAAGTATTTTCTTCAGTCACTGACAATTCTTAAATGCTTTTGAATCACAAGATTAATGTTGTATTAATGAAAAAAACCCATCAGTAGTGGGGCCTTAATTAATGGCCAAAATTTATAATTAAGTAAAAGTGAGCATTAGACATACTAATTTGGTGCTTTTAAAATAAAGTGATTGGTTGCTTTTTTTTTTAGTTGGAGTCTCACTCTGTCACCCAGACTGGAGTGCAGTGGCCACTCCTGGCCACCGCAGCCTCGACCTGCTGGGCTCCGGCGATCCATCCGCCTCAGCCTTCCAAGTAGCTGGAACTATAGGTGCACACTACCATGCCTGGCTAATTTTTGATTTATTGTAGAGATGAGGTCTCGCCAAGTTGCCCAGGCAGGTCTCAAATCCGCGGGCTCAGGCAATCCACTAACCTCAGCCTCCCAAAGGCGAGGGATTACAGGCTGAGCCACAGAGCCTGGCTGATTGGTTGGTTTAAAGAGTGCTTGCTTTAACAATCAAGTTAACTTCTCCTTTGAAACAATTTTATTTAAGACACTGTCATTCCTACCTCCCTGTCCCCAATTAGGAATCATTGCACTTTGGCGCCTAATCCTTTCTTGTGCCATTTGTTTATCTACATCTCTATCTATATATGGCCATGTGTATGTTTTTATACATACCATGTATGCTTGCATCTATTTATTAAATAAGACAAAGCCAGAGGGTTAAGGGGAAGAACTTGGAAATCCTTCTGTCTATCTCTGTGGCTGTGTGAGACTGACCTTTGATTAAGCCAAAAATTGTAACAGTCAAAATTAAAGTACACATGGTAGCTACATTTAAAATATTTACATGACTAATATTCAAACTTAGGGCCAGGTACTGTGGTTCATGCCTGCAATCCTAATGCTTTGCAAGGCTGAGGTGGGAGGATTGCTTGAGCCCAGGAGTCCAGACCAGCAGAGACAACATAGCAAGCCCTCATCTCTACAAAAAAATGTAAAATAGTTAGCCGAGCATGGTCGCACATGCCTGTAATTCCAGCTACTCAGGAGGCTGAGGTGGAATGATCACTCGAGCCCAGGAGTTCAATGTTTCAGTGAGCTGTGAGTGTGCTACTGCACTCCAGCCTGCACAACAGAGATCTTGAATGAAAAAAATAAAATAATAATAATAATACGCTGTAGGAGGTTTTTTTTTCTCTTTTCCATCCCATAGAAGTTTCTGAAAGAGAAATGACAACCCTACCAAATGCATAACAAGCAAAGGATAGTCAAGCCAAGCAGGAATAAACAAAAGAACACGTGTCTCTGTTATTGACAAGACACATATCCCGCTACTGCACAGCACACTCATGCCTTCGTCCAACACGAAGCCTGTCGCCATTAGCGACATGCTTAAAAACCTACAGCAGGAAAAAACGATTAGCATATGTATACTGCTCACTTCATATATTCAATGAGGCCATGAAAAGGAGTGCCCGAACAAATTAAAGTGAACAAAGCCAGGGCGGCACTTTTCTACTTGAAGGTTAGATGGGACAGTCCTTTCCAATAAATATCCTCTTTCACGAGCTACTTAGTAGTCTGCAGGGCCTGGCTGTGTCCGCTGAGAGTCTGAAGAGGATTCTGGATTAGCTATAGTTTACAATTGTGGAGCAGCTTCTCCGCTCTCTCACCCATGAGCAAACTCAATCTTTCTCACCCCTTTGTGGAAACTGAGGGCTGCTTTTATAGTCACAGCAGAAAATTTATTCGCACCCCAAGAAGGAGACCACCTACTGGCCTGACCTCCAAATGGGATTACTGCAAGAGAAGCCAATTCCCACAGTGTCTTCCATAAGTATAAGTGCTGAGTTTCATGACTTATTACCATCGAAGCAACTCTCTCTGCCTTTAATGACTTACTGGGAGGTCTGACTGCCAAGCTCCTTAGGTGAATTTGCTACTTTTTTTCACAGAAATTTAGAAAATCCCCCCCATCCCCCACCACAGAACAAAAATAATTTATTCCTGAGCTGTAAGAAGCAAAAGCTCCAAATTTCTAGCTGTCACCCTATGGCCTCACACTGGTTAGGAAAATGCTTTTTCTTCGTCATGAGCATATTTGCCAAGCGTCAACTGGTAGGAGCTGGCACTTGGAGGGGGTTTTATCAGCAGCATCTGGTGAGTGGTGTTTTCCGAGGATCATGCGGGACCACGAGGTTCACTCAGGTACACGTAGTCTTCTAGGATCCTGACCAGAGCCAAGGATGGTCTAGAATTTCACTGGAAAGCTTGCACAAAGCTCATGATCATGGTTTGCCCTTCATCTGCTCCAGAAGTGAAATCTGAACTACCACAACGGGGCCAGACGCCAAGAAGGAAGAGGCCTGTCTGCTTTGTACTTTGCTATCAGATTCCTGGGGAATTATACAACTTTTTTTCTCCCCTCTCCTTTGAGCCTAGAAGCTCTTACCATATCCCTTAGTTTATTATATATGAACTTTTCACTAAACTAGGGGAAAAATTCATATATAAGAACTGCAAGTTCAGCCTAGGCAACATAGCAAAGCCTTGCTCTACAAAAAAATTTTTAAAAGTCTCCAGGCATGGGGGCACAAGCCTGTAGTTCCAGCTACCCGGGAGGCTGAGGTAGAAGGATTGCCTGAGGCCAGGAGGTCGAGGCTGTGGTAAGCTGTGCTAATGCTATATAGCACTCCAACCTGAGCGACAGAGCAAGTCCCCAACTCAAAAATTTTTTTTAAAAAGGGGGGGTGGGAGAAAAAAAAGAATAAGAAAAAGAAAAAAGAACTACAAATTTAAAGAAACAGAAATTCCAATAATGACAGTTCTCTAACACTGTATATTTTTATTGTAATGAGACACTTGATGTTCTTCAAGTTTATTCTGGTCAGCAAAAAAATGCATTATCTATATATCATAAAATGGCAAAGTAAAGTTATCATCTTATAAATTCTTTAACACCAAAAATTATACAAACATATAGTAACTTTAAAAACACCAGGGCAACCCCCTTGGGTCCTTTCACACTGTGGAAGCTTTTCTGTCCTCTCAATAAATCCTGCTTTCTTAAGGGGGGGAAAAAAGCATCAATATTTGATTAATCAGGAATTCCCTTTCCCAGACAATTTTAGATATAAGTAACTAACATATCAAATGGCAGTTATTTGTCATCTCCTAGTAGGAAAAAAAGAGTGGACACTGACCTTGCCACTCTGACAGGGAACTGTTAGAGTTATCTAGTCTAATCTTCCCAGGGTCCCTCTGAGGCAGGTATTCTTATCCCCACTGAACAGATATAGAAACCTGAGTCCCAGGGTGAGCCAGGGTCAAAGAACTGACAAGAAGCTAGGACGGGATTCAGATCACCCAATCTAATGCCAACGCCCACCTTTGTTCAATTATGGGCCACTGCCTTAAGAGTGAAACCAGGCAGGGGGAACACAACGAAAAACCAAAAATTAGAACGATCGTTTTGAAACATCTTTCTTGTAAGCTCTTACTTACTAATAAAAACCTTGGCAAGCATTTTAAACATTCTAAATTCCCACCAACATAGGGATCAATTTTGGGTTCCAGGACTGAGAAGACAGAAGAATTCCCCTTCTTGGGCCAGAGACTTTAATGCTGGGCCTCAAACCTGAGGCTGGTCTATTTTCACATGCTGGACCACTTTCTCTTCCCTTATGAAAGGACCCAGAAAAGTCCATTCCTTCCAAGAAACTTCTAGAAACAGAGTTCCCGGCCACCGCAGCCTCAACCTGCTGGGCTCTGGTGATCCTTCCACCTCAACCTTCCAAGTAGCCGGAATTACAGGCACGCGCTACCACGCCTGGCTGATTTTTTTTTTTTTATTTATTGTAGAGATGAGGTCTCGCCGCCCAGGCAGGTCTCGAACCCGCAGGCTCAGGCAATCCACTCACCTCAGCCTCCCAAAGGCGCGGGATTACAGGCTGAGCCACCGAGCCTGGCTGAGCTGGGCTTTTCTTACCTTCAGAATCTGGTCTCCTTCTTGAAGGCCCTCCTGCTCCGCCGAGGTGCCCTCCTGAATGCCAGCGACAAAGATCCCAACGTCATTGCCACCGGCCAATCGGAGGCCCACGCTGTCTCCCTTCTTGAACCTCACCATTTTGGTATCAGTGCTGCAACAGATTCAGTTTCAGCAAGGAAAGACGGGAGATATTTTTTCAAGAGGGAATAGCATACGAGAATTTAGCTTCTCTCTACAGAGTGACTTATAGTTTTACAAAGCTCTCTCTCGTTTTTCTCATATTCTCCACGAATTTATCTTCCTTGGGACTGTGAGATGAATACCAGTAGGCTCATCTTACTGGTGAAGAAGCAGAATTATAGGAGGTTTACATTTGCTCATTCAAGATAAGAAAGTGAACAAAGGGCAGGGTGAGAGCTAAAATCCAGGCCATCTGACTCCCAATTTAGGATTCCTCCAAAGGAAAGCCTGCTGGCACCACATAGATCTTGTCAAAAAAAGACACAGGCTTTATCTGTTCAAGGGAGCAGGGTTCTAAGCCAGAAGGCTGCTGCTCTTGAGTCCTGCTGAACCAGGGGGTCTTGCAATCAAGTGCAGAGCACTGTGTCCCTCCCCCATGCACTGAAACCATGAGGTCACTGCAGTTACTACTGGACACCATAGTTTAGCAATACTTCACCTATGCAGGAGGTATTTATCTGGCAAACGCAAATATGCAGAATAACATTCTGGAAAAGTAGCCAGTAGGCAGATAAAATCAAAATCGCAAAGTTCATCTACTTCCACATTTTGCTATTCCTGCAAATGATTTTGCTTTCTCATAAGCACTAGCAATAGAGATTGGTAAAAAGGAGCCAACGGTGTGCAAAATCACCATCTCTGGGTAAAGAAACATCATTCTTCTGGATTTCAGTTAAGGAGACAGAGTTCTAAGGAAGAAGAAAGAAAAAAAAAAGAGTCTGAAATATATACCCATATATTGCTTCATCTTCAGGACTAGGTCGAAGGAAAGTTCTCGGGGCTGCTTTTGGTTGAGGAGCTGTGGATTTCAAAACATCTATTGTTATCAACCTGGACGAGCAGGAGTTTCTTTGCTTCTAAATGTAAACATCACAAAATTAAAAAAAAAAAAAAAGGAAGTCTATATCTTATGCTACATGTATGTCATCACAAACAAAAAGACTCTACAAGGTGCCAGTGGCTTCTCAAAATAAGTGACAAGAGAAATGAACCTCTAAAATGCAAAGTACACAATCACATGTGCAAGATAATAGCACCATAGAAAAATATTTATGCATATAGGATTATGATGATAGTTGTAGGGTGGTGGGACAGGGTTAGGGGCATGGGGTTGGGATCGAGAATGGGAGACAAAAAGATGTCAACTCATCAAATGTGACAAAATGTGACCAATTCTAATGGCACATAGAAAAGGCTGTTGTTTATAGATTTTCACTATTAACAGAGAGAGAGAGAGGGCCTCTTCCATCTGTAAGAATGATTTTCTCTTTCTCTATCTCCTTCCAGCCACCCTCTGGAATTATCAAACACAGCTATTGCAACTGGTGGTCTTAAAGCCTCACCTGGGAGTTCCTCTTGGTATCTGGGTTCCTTATTGGCCTCTGTGACGACCGTGGCTGCAATATCCCCCGTGGACTTAAACGGAGTGGGTGTGGCGCCCATCCTGGACAACCTGCTTGGCGTGTCCTCTCTTGAACTAAAGCATACATCATGTTAGTGTTTCTTGAGATAACCGTTTCACAGATACATACGTGTGCACACATTCACAGTGACACGTGCAAGGGAAAATACACGTCCTCTTACCTCGGTCTTTCCTTCAGCTTCTCATTTGAGGAATGATAATCATAATCGGAATACTGCTGGCGTCTCTCCTCTGGAGAAAATGATCGGTTTGACTCTATTTCTGAGATATCTAATTTCAAAAATAAGAAAAGACTTTCTAATAAAATATTTAAGACCTGTACCAGAAATTATACTGTTTGCTGGGTAGGAAACATGGGAAACAGAAGAGAGGTGGGTAGTAAATGTGCCATTAGTGTAACTGCCTTTCCTCAGAAAAAAACTTCATTGTTTTAAGGGAAAGGCATTAATTACTAAAGAGGAAGCCAAATTCAGAACTGTGTATTTCTCTTTCACCCCATTAGATACCCCCTTGATGCTGGGGTTACTTCTCACGTTCCTTTTGTTTTCCTGGATTGCACCCACGGCAGTGACCAACAATGGATACAATGGAAACTAAACTAAGTTTAAGGTTATATTTTTTAAATTCTTCTAAAAAAATCAACAAAAGCCTGTTTTACATCTTGGGGACTTATTATTTTCTAAACTTTTCTGCACAAAAGCAATAGTAAATGGTTAAGTTGGATATATTATGACTACTTACTTTTACTGACAATTTTTACAAGGTTAAAATGTTATTCTATGTATAATTCATACTCAAATAACGAAAACAGGAAAGGTAAGCCAGGCGCGATGGCTCACGCTTATAATCCCAGCACTTTGGGAGGCTGAGGTGAGAGGATTGCCTGAGTCCACAGGTTCGAGACCAGCCTGGGCAACTTGGCGAGATCTCATCTCTACAATAAATCAAAAAATTAGCCGGACATGGTGGTGTGTGCCTGTAGTTCCAGCTACTTGGAAGGCTGAGGCGGAAGGGTAGCCTGAGCTCAGTAGGTCAAGGCTGCAGTAGCCGTCAGCGTGCCACTACACTCCAGCCTAGGCGACAGAGTGAGACTCCAACTAAAAACAAAAAATTTTTTTAATAAAAAATAAAAGATGATGCAGATTGCTAACTAATAAACAGCACAGTATTAGCCATTTTGACTCTAGCTATTTTAGCTGTCCTCCCAATTGTTCTCTTTGTTGGCAATTCTAATAGCTACTTTTTGAAATCCACATGAATAAGTGCAAGCATGAGCAATTAGCAGGTGTATACATGATATGGTTCGTTCTTTGAACCACTTATATATAGTTTTTTTTACTAACCAGTTTTGCTTGCAGTGGCCTAATTAAGACTCCTCTGGGAGTTCACAAGTGCACCAGCATTTCATATTGAAAACTAAATTTCAACGGACACTTACTTTCAGATGAGACTGGGTACATTCAGGATGGTATGGACATCGATAGACACTTCCGTAAGCAAATAACAACCAAACACTCACCTTTAGGGATTAAAGTCTAAAAGGGAGGCTTTTGTTGGAAATTTAACTGCCAGCTGAATAGCTATGCTATAGAGATAAGGATACAAAAGTTATACCTTCCTGACTTCCAGCTAAACTCACAGCCTCCTCTTATTTTTACCTTCTATTTCCGAGTCACTGTCATTTAATGACGGGATGTTGATGAGGGTTTGCTTGCTGTCTCTCAGCACCACTAGCTGTAGTTTTCCTCTCGACTTTTCTATCAATTTTCGAGCATCCGTCAAAGACATGTTCTCAGTTACAGTTCCATTGATCTGTGTTTATGATGAATAGCAATGTTATACACAATATAATTAATCACAACTAAGTAGAAAATTTGTATTTTCCCTGTCTAAAAATGTAAAGGCTTTGCTCAAATACTCAAACAGACACAGGCTTTAGGATGAATAAAAATGAATTCTCCTTTAAATTAAACAGAATCCTGCACGCCTGGATCCCAAATACAAGTGTAAGTTACTCTGCTAATTTATTTAACTTCCAAGCTCAAGTCGATGGTTTGGTTTACTACTGGAATGTGTTTCCTGACAGGAGAGGTTTACAAGAACTATTAAATATTCAGCATTCATATACCACCCGCTTTCCCTCTCATCTTTCCATAGTTTAGGGAAGAGGAACCAAAACTTTAAACAAACAAAAGAAGAATATATTCGGGGAGTTTGTTTGTTTGTTTAACAAATATTAAACTGTTACAGGCCTCCGAGTCTGGTCTTTGTGATAAAAATCATCTCACTAAGTTGTTCTTCCTGCCTCTATCTTACCCCCACGGCAACTAAGTTTCATCATGTTGGTGCTTGAATGTGAGATGTAGGCTCTGAATGCCAGCATGCCCACTACACTCCCTACCCCAGGCCCACCTTGAGAATGATGTCCCCTTCGTGAAGGTTGCCATCCTTAGTTGCCAGACCCGTTCTAGTCATTTCCTTTATGAAGATCTGACTGCCAAGCCGGAGACCATACTCTAGGAGACAAGCACAGAAACATACACATGGCATCCATTTGTCCAGAACATTTAGACAGATCTTTAGGACTACTGAAAAATGTTTATAAAAAGTTAATTTGGCTGGGCGTGGTGGCTCACGCCTGTAATCCCAGCTCTTTAGGAGGTCAAGGTGGGAGGATTGCTTGAAGCCAGGGGAGATTTAGACCAGTGGAGGCAATACAGCGAGACCCTCTTTCTCCAAGAAATCAAAAAATTAGCCAGTTGTGACGGCACAGGCTTGTAGCCTCGGATACCAAACCTGCAAAAACACATACATATTTTAAGGATGAATTTTGGTTATTTCAGAAAGCTTCCACAACCTTGAGGGTTTTAAAACAGACACATCCATATTTTTAAAATTCTTGTTCTGATTGAAAAATCTTATAATTACAAGACAAAGTAGCTTTCTGCAATTCAGGAGAGTTGTGAAGTAGATTACAAAATAAGTTTAAAATGACGCAGCACAGATCTTACCACAATGATTAAAAGCACTGAGGTTCATCTCCTGCCCCTTCAGGAAGCTGACAGTCAAGAAAGGAAAAGGAAAAGGCAAGTCTACCTCCATGGATGACGACCATCCAAACAGTCATAGTCCAGAACAGAGAGCGGACACAAGCAGGAATGATAACTAACTCTTTCTCAACTTAGCAGAAATAGCATTTAAGGCCAGGCGCAGTGACTCAAGCCTGTAATCCCAGCACTTTGGGAGGCCGAGGCAAGAGGATTGCCTGAGCTCAGGAGTTCACAACCAGCCTGGGCAACTTGGTAAGACCTCGTCTCTACAATAAA